TTAACATCTCAGGATAATGAGTTAATATCTCAAAGTAGTGACATAGTATCTCAAGATAAAGATTTGGTGTTTCTAAATGATTTAGTATTCCATAATTAAGACTCTCAGTAGGAACAGGCTTCGTTAACCGGAAGTGGAACCCCACCGTGGTCGCGGTGCGTCTGGTTTGCGACTGGCGGCCTCGTGGATCGTCGTCGTCGTCGAGCCGCAGAACAAAGCCGAGCAGAGATGATGATTAACTGTATTCAAAAAAAGAGAAAAGCAGCCTTGGTGTTATCTGGCTGCTGCCGCTCGCTCCGCCCGGCCCGAGGGAAAGCTGCTGAGCAAACACAGGTGGCTGGAAGTCAGTGACAACACACACACAGACACACAAAACACTCACACTCACAAAACACACACTTCCCAGAGACTAGAGGGCGATTGATGTTGGACTTTGAAGGGCAAGGCTGATATCAAACTTTAATTTGATAGGAAATGTAAATTAACAGGGATAAACTGCTATTATAAAGTAATTTGGGCGCTTATTTATTTATTTATTTATTTATCTGAAGCTCACAATTCCAAGATCTTTTCCTCAATGCACTGTAATTTAAATGTTTGGACAGCCCCTCTTTATGGAAAGCCAAAAGGGCCGTTAAATGCCTCTATCTTCTCCCTGTAAAGTGACGCTTTTCACAGCCTTTTTTAACAGATACAAGCACTTTCTTACAGCAATTTCCCGTTATGATAAATAGCCCTTCCTTCTGATAGTGAGTTCCTGAGCTAGTGAGTTCCTGTAACCAAAATAGCCAAGATATTTACGGCGAAATGGTTAAAATCAAGGCTTTAAAAAGTCTCCGTCCACATCTTGTATTCAGTTGTAGATTTTAGCTTTCAGGCTGGGCGGCAGAAGAGGCTCATCACCATGAGGGTAAAACACCTGTAAAACAAAGCAGTACTCTGCATTCCCTCAGCAGAGCGGCGTAATGAGGGGGGGCTTTAGTGGCACTTACAGCTTTACACTCATAACGCCTTGGACGTGCCTTGCTCAAAGGCAGACCCGTAGGAAAGTGCTGGTGTTTTTCACTCGTTTTCACGTCCCGCCTTCCGATTGCTCCCCGAATCACACGAGCTGCCACATCGAGCCAGCCATCCTTCAGTAAAACCAATAGAACCCGCCTCGCTGCTGCTTTGAGGGTTTCTTCTCGCCCCGTCAGGAGCCTTTCCTTTGTTTTCTCCTCCTTTTTATTCTGGGTGAATTTGAAACGGGGGGGAAAACAAATGGAGGTTTCTGATAAAGCCCAGCGCAAATATGCGGAAGGTGGTCGTTGGCATGTGGAGGTTTGCTCAGTGCACACGAGCTCTGACAGCAGCAGGAGAGGCTCTGCAGAGGAGGAGGAGGTCTGTGGAGGAAGAGGAGATATATAGATCTATATATCTATAGATCTACATAGAAAGATCTATACTGTATATGTATATACACCTCACTGCTACTGCCTGAGAAAGGACCTGCCAAAGGATAGTGGTTGTATACACACATGTATATATATATATATATATATATATATATATATATATATATACACAGTATGTAATGTTAAAAGCAAACAAAACTAACTTCCGTCTTCATGAGAAACTACTTTAGGAAAGGTTTGTGATGTAGCATTAACATGTTTGCTGTTAGCATTGGGAAACGTCATGTAAGGAGAAGAAACACATGTGATTATTGAGAGCATGTAAACGTGAATGAAGTTGACAATATTCAGATATTTGCAGCAGGAACTCAGTGAGTTAATGTCACTTGATTTATTGAACATCTTTAGAGACTTCGGTCTGAACCGTGGTGGTCGGCGGACTTCATGGGCCTGTGGAGGTGGAGAAGATAAAGACAAAGATTGGAATCTGATCATTTAAAAGCATCTGTTACCAGCACAAACCAATCTACGGACATTAGCTACATATTTGGTGTATTGACATGCAGACGTTTGTCGGACTGCTACGTTAAGATGTGGTTCTTTTCATCTCTGGAAGGGATTGAACGGTCGTAATAATGGTGCATGCAGAGCTGAAGTTGGGACATCCCTCATATGTATGCATGTGTGTGTGCATGTGTGTGTGCATGTGTGTGTGCATGTGCACGTGTGTGTGTGCGTGTGTGGTAAACGTTCCTTGTCCAAACACGGCATCGCCGGCTAAGCTCTGACCTCGAGTCGCTCGGCATGCAGCCCTCCCTCGGAAAAACGCCATTATTATTCATAACGGGCTGATTGCTTTGGTGAGCAAACAGAGGCGCTCAGCGAGGCGGCGGGCGCCAGAGGAGCCGCTCACGACGCCACGCCGCTCGCCTCCTTTTGTTCCTGCAGAATCATGCTTTTATTTTGTCCTTTTTTCTTTGTAATGACGACCATTAGTTTCATTTCTCTATATATTCTGTGTTCCAGCTACGTGTGTGTTGAGGGAAATGCAGACTGAAACATCTCAGATGTCAGATGAAGGTTTTCGTCCAGTCACGTTCTCCAGAGGATGAACCCTGTTTACTTTGGCGATCCCCTGACTTGACATTCACAGTTTTTGAGGCAAAAGTCTTGGGAGCGATGGGATGAGTTAACATGTTATTCATGTTACATGTATGTAACATGTTAGTGTAAACGCTCATGTTCCTCTGGGGATGAACCCCAACAATGTTGTCAAATTAGTAACAGCAAAGTCTCACAGAATGTGTCCTTTGCAGAGGTAGAGGCGGACTTCTCACTCCTCACGAGGAAGAAGAAGAAGAAGTTAATGAACAACCTGACTAAGCGTCATTCCTCCAGCCGGCAGAGGCTCACTTTGTTAACCCCCCCAGTAAAAGGTCGGTGCTTTATGATTTAGGGTCAGATCGGGAGGTGCCGCGTCTCAAAACAAACTGACCCAAAGTGTTGAGGTCAGCTCCCTGTGTTGTGCGTCAGCTGGTGATGACGGCTCCTCTGGGCTGTGAGGAACAACTCCAACACACAATGCCTTGTGATGTTATTATATATATATCATATATTTTATATATTACACCACTGTCTTGCGGTGAACTTTTTATTTTAACTTCTATTCATGATTTAGGTAAACATACCTTTCGTTTTTTGTACTTCCACCTTTTATTTGCGCTTATTTCCGTCCTTGATCTTCTATCTTATCAATCACAAATGTAACTTATTAATATTGTAACTAAGTCAGTTAAGAGCTGAGCTCTTTGTGTTTCTTTAGGCTGAAAACAACATTTGTTGGTAGATGAAACTTGTGAAGCTGCGTACAGAAAGGTGGCGTAAATACTTTTGGAACAACTAGAACATTAAAGACTCCCCAAACGGGAGAAAATACACCTCCACGAGAAGATGATGTTCATACTAAAAGCTAAAGTTTTAACAATCAAATCCAAAGATCTCCTCGAGACTCTTTTTTCTTCTCCTCCTTGGTGCATCAATGAACATCGTTTTCACACTAAAAAGTGCTTGTTAGCCCCCTCTTTGTACCCTTTGAGATTAGGTTCATCCTCTGGGGAACAGGAACATCACATGATGAGGGAAAGGTTGGACCCGCTGGAGGCACTGGAGGGTAGGGTTCATCCTCTGGGGGACATGAATGTTTCTACAGAATGTTTTTTTGTAAATCAATAGAAACGTATCGGAATTATCTTCTGCAGCCGCATGCTTGTTTGATTAATCTCTGGATTATTGTGTTGATTGATTGATTGATTAATCTTTTATTCCACAACATGTCAGAGAAGTCAAAGAGAACATCAAGGAATTCAAGGAAGGGTGAAACAATTAGTTGATCAAATAGTGGATGGACAGAGAATTTTTCAAATTAATAATTGATCAAATGCTTTAATCTCCAAACAATCTCAGTTTCTCCAAGTGAAGTTTTTTGTTTTTTTATATCATTATAATTCAAAACTCACATATAATACATGTGGGTTTTAATTGTGGGGATTTTGCTCTGATTCTTTGGTGGAATGTAACCTAGTATTTAGTCAGACACTTATTTGTATTCTACTTTCTTTTACTTCTATAATCTACTACATTTCAGAAAGAGATATTGTTCTTTTTACTTCCCTGTCCATCTTACACTCTTAAACGTTCATAATATTGTGCAGCACTACACTTTTATTGTCCACTAGTACACAAATACCAGTATCTAAAAACTAGCTCCACATGGATTACATTAAAAAGGTCCTTAAAGGTGTTTATTTGTGATAAAAAACAGAATATCCTGTAATAATATAATAATACTCTCTCCGAACTATTGATACGTTCATTAGATTTTGGAGATTATTTTCTTTTTGAACCTGAGACTTGTCATAGAGTATTTTTAGAATTCTTTGCCATAAGTGATATTGAGAACGTATTTCATCACTTAAAGACTAAACCATTAATTGAGATAAAAATGTGCTGATTAATTTGATGGCGAAAAATAATCAGGAGTTGCTGCTTCTATATTTGGGTTAAAACATTTTGCCAATTTCTTAGTTTTAAAGAGGAATCGTTGACTGTCAAATTAGTATCGATTGATTTGATTGATTTATGACACAACAAATTGTGCCATAAATCAGTTGTACCTTTTAAGGTTGCATTAAAATGTTGGTCCGAAGTGCAGTTTTTATATTATTCATTCCCTTTACACTTGTAAAAAATACACACTTAGATATAAGGAAGATAAAAGACGTTTTCTTTGTCCCAGTTTGAAGTGAGAGGCGTTGAAGATGCTGATGAAGATGCTGATGAAGATCCTCTCTGCGGTTAAACATCGCTCCTGTTGGATGTTAATGTCATTTTATAACATTTCACCTCCTCACTGTGTCATGTGTCCGCTTGTTATCGATGATGTCATCTCTCTGTGACCCTGCAGCTGATAATTAAACCATTTAATGTGGATGTTCATGTTAACGTTTAGTGCTCAAGAGGCATCACTTAATCTGATTTAATAAATAGATTAAAGTAGCCTACAGAGTTTGATTAAATTAAATGAAACATTAAAAAAGACTGTTTTCATATAAAGATTTTTTTTATCTGTTGCACAAATACAAACACACAAATGACTGATGAAAAATCCTGCACCGGAAGGGCGCGTACCCGCCGTCACAAACGTCCAAGGTGTGTTCTCGTTGTCTCTCAGGTGTTCATCACGGGCCTCGTGTACGCGCCGCGGTAGTAGCTGGAGTCGCCGTGCGCGGGATCCAGGCCGCTTTTGGCGGCCACCAGCGCCCCGGTGACCGGGCAGCCGTACCCCCCGTACTGCACCGCGGGCTCCGGGCGGGGGGGCGGCGGCTCCGACATGAGGTTGTTGATGGAGAACGGGTGGTTGAAGGAGTAGTGGGGGGGGTAGTGGTCGGGCCTCAGGTGCGCGGCCTCGTGCAGCAGCAGCGGGGGGTGGTAAGGGGGGTGCGAGAACAGGTGCTGGGTGTGCGCGAGCGGAGAGGGCACGCGCACGGGGCTGGGGGGCAACAGTTCGCCCCGGCGCGCCTTGGGGTCGACCCCCGTGCCCTTGACGTCCGCGGGCGGGGAGGTCGAGGAGGGGGAGTGCGGGGAGTCGGAGCGGGTGCTGCCGGTGGTGACCGAGCCGCCCTCCGAGCCCTCCTTCTCACCGGCACCGGACGCCCGGCCGGACTTGAAGCGCTTCTGCCGCCGCAGGTAGCAGCCGTTCTCGAACATGTTCCCGGAGTCCGGGTGCAGCGCCCAGAAGGAGCCCTTCCCCGGTTTGTCCGGTAAGCGGGGCACCTTGATGAAGCAGTCGTTGAAGGAGAGCGAGTGGCGGATGGAGTTCTGCCAGCGCTGCTGGTTCTGCCGGTAGAACGGGAACAGGTCGGTGATCCACTGGTAGAGCTCGTTCAGCGTCAGCATCTTGCTGCCGGACTGCTGGATCGCCATGGTGATCAGGGAGATGTACGAGTACGGCGGCTTGGCGTGCGTGTAGCTGCGCCGGTAGGGTTTGGGCTCCCGGGATCGGATGCCGCAGGCCTGCCCGTACACCGGGCTCATCACCGGCACGCTCCCGTACGGCGGCGGCGGGCTCATGGAGCTCATGCTCGGGCCCAGGCCCGTCATCCCGACTGCGGCCTGCACCATGGCCCCGGGGCCCTGCGACCCCCCGCAGTGCATCGAGGAGTGGTTGACCCCCACCGGGTTCGCGTAATGCGCGTTCATGTGTCCGGCGCCGCTCATGCCAGGCGCGCTCATGTAGCTGCTCATTGAGTTCATGTTTCCCGCTGAGGTGTAACACTGAAACACAGAGAAACGACGTATTACATAAATAGTCTCTATTAACTATTAGTAGACTTTCATATATAAAACATGCTGCATTTGACTGGCAGAAATCCTGCTGCATGAATTATAGAAAAGGTATTAAAACAAATAAAACGTTTTTTCTTTTGCTCTCACAAATAATATTTCACCTTTAAATTGGGTTATTTCTGCTGTCGATTAATCTGATGACGATTTGATTGTTTGGTCTACAAACATCTGAAAACTGTGAAGGCCTATAATCCCACAACAGCCTCATAATATATTTTATATATATATTAATTTCCTCACACGTTTGGACCCATTACCCGTGTACTATTGGTTGTCTTACACCTTCATTCTGAAGTACATTTTATTGTATTAATATCAACAACTTTGACTCTTGGCAGAAATCCAATCAACGTCCTCCAAACCTCCACTTTATTTCCTGCAGGTTTTAATTAAAGTGAGCGTTGATTTCAGGGATATTCTCTTGATAGTGACATAAACACTAATTCTGTCATAACTTTCCCCTAATTATTTTACGATAAGTTATATGTCTCGCCAGGAATTCTCGTCATCTCTCAATATGAAGATCAAACTGCTGTTTTAAAGGTCTTTGAGCTTAATACATTTTGGAATCACTCTGAACAGAAGGGATTTGTTATCGTTATTATCGGGAATTATTAAATTAGGTTGAGAGGTTCTCTTCATTCATGATGCTCTCTGATTTTATCTCTTTTTTTGTAAATGTTTTCTCAACCTCTTCAGATGAATACAGATTATATTAATGGCCGGAGAAATTTTAAAACACAGATTAGACTTTAGCCACTTTAATAATAATAGGAACAGGAATATTGAACCTTTGCAAATGTGACGAGATTTCTAATTCGCCTGATGTCTGTCAACGTCCACTGAATTAGAAGAATGACCTCATGAACAATACACATTTCTCCTTAAATTGGCTTCCTTTTTTAATTCGATATACATTTTTGAAGCTTGGAAATAAATAATAAAAGTTTAGATGCAAACTTTAATTAAGCACTTAGAACCATTATTCTGTATATGATTTCCTCATTTTGCTGCAAGATTAAATCAAAATGCCCTTAAAGGACAAAAGTCTCAATAAGGCAACTACTTACTTATAATTATAGATACAAAATATAGATGAAAACAATTCCCATGTAACTGGTAATTGTGGATGTGTAGTTTAAAGTGATATAAATCAATATCCTGTATAATATATATCGATATACATATATATTGTGTATATATATATATATATATACAATAATATATTCGAAACGAACATTCATTGTAGACATATATGTAATACGTATTACTCATAATAATCCCTGTTAATATTCCCTCCTGTAATCAGATGACGTCATAACCGCGGGGCTCGGCCCTGGTGGACGCCGGTGTAGAGTGCACGGACCTCGGTCTCTCCGTAGTAGCCGCTGCCGCTCCAGTCCGCGTGCTCGTGTCCCTCCATCTTAACGGCGCCCAGCATCGTGCACGCTCCCACCGATCAATGCATCCAAAGGCCTCGCGCGCAGCGGGAAAAACAAAAATAAAAATAAAACCCACAGAGGAGCCGATCCCGGTCCCCCGCTGGCCGCCGGTGACGGTCCGGTGTTTCCTGGTCGTTCCGACCGGGACTGGCGCTCACACCTGCGCGGCGTCTGTCTGCAACCGCGGGGCGGGAGGGGGGAGGTGAGGGGGATCCTGGCACCTGCGCTCGCGCTGCCGAGGCGGAGCCAGTGTCCAATCAGCTGGCTCGCCTCTGCGTTCCTCCTCGAGCTCGTGCACGTTTCGATTTGAATATTCCATCTGGGAACGAGAATCCCGCCCCGTGGCATCTCTGCAAATGACGTCATTACCTGTCCCGTGTGAGGAAATTCAAGTACCGTCCTCGCGATACTCCCAAAGGAACGATTTACTTTAATATCAGGGTACTTAGGTGTAATTGTGAAGTACTTTTACTTTAATTGAGTATTTTCTGCTTCTGTAGCTCTCAGAGGTACATGTCGTACTTTGTACTGCACATATGAAGTATTTGTAACTTTGCAGATTCACATTATCAGTACAAAATATGATCAACTAACTGATTATGTTGATTAAGCTAAAACTTTATAGAAATACCAGAACAGCATTAATGCTTCGGTTCGGAGAACTTGATCACCACTAACAATGATTTGCTTTAAATAGAGATATGATAAATGAAAAGGGTTTCATTTCATTCAAATATTTTTTTCTACTTTTAAGTAGTACTTTAAAAAGTATTGATTCTTCATACTTTCCTTTAACAGTTCCTATCTTCTCCCAGAAATGACCGATTGGCACAGATCGATCTCGTGATCTGAGTGAACTTAAACTAAAAAAATCTGATGACTCATGTTTTATTCATGTTTCTGAGGGGGGTCATGTGGTTCTTCCTCCTCCTCCTCCTCCTCCTGCTGGTGCAGGTCTTCACTGTTTGAGGTCCGTCAGTGAGTATTTACCTGGTGATGAATCTGAAAGGAGGACGGACGGTACACATGACCGAGGTGAAGGAACAAGAGGAGCCGGACCACCATGCTCTCTGCACACACGACCTGTCCTCCCCGTGTGGACCGCAAACAAGACAAATATTTCACCTTTTGTGGTCCAGCGTAGCTCAGCGGGTCACTCAGACGGTCAGGCAGTAGGAAGATTCCTGAAACATCTGAAAGCTGCAGCCCGAAACCCAGCGACTCATAACACGACTGACTCCTTCACTCTGAAAAGAAATGTTCTAAAAGGGTTTTCTAAAAAGAGTTATACTCACAGGCTCTCTTCTCCTCATCCTCACACATGTACTGAAGTAAAAATACTACATCCTGCATTAATATACTACTTAAGTAAACAAGGTAAATAGTTATGTCCCTCCTCTGTTATTGAATATGCATGAGTCAGAATGGTGTTAGCCTAGCTTAGCATAACAGGGGGAACAGCTATGCTTTGAGTTTCCAAATAACTAGATAAAGCATCGCCTCTAAACTCATTAAATAAATGCACATGTATTTCGTCTGAAAATCAACCGCTAGTGTGTTTGTGCTAAGCTAACCGAAGCTAAACTAATTGATAGGCTCCCTAAACTAGTGCTTTAGGTAAATATTGTTGAACGTGCTTCAGTTTAAAAAATCTGTAATTTTAACACATTTAGCGTTTTTTTCAGTCTGAAACAAACTATTTATTAACAAGAAAATAAACTAATTCTAATTCCAAATTCAACATAACTGTCGTTACTTCTTGTTGCGTTGGTTTGGCGGCTCAGCTGCTGAGGATCATGGGTAGTGTAGTTTTTAAACACGTCAGATAAACTTTAAACTAAATTCAGTTTCGTGGGTGTGATTTGTGCAGCTGCTGAGGATCAGAGAGACCATCCACGTACTTTATGATCTCACCTCCAGCAGGTGTGAACTCACCTGAGAGAATACTGAGCTCACACGAAGCAAATTACTTCCAAACACGCAGAAATCACAGAAAACACACAAAACAGAAGTCAGCTCCTTTATTTGCATTTTATTGTCATGTTTTATTTATTCATTTAATGAATGCATTTTACCAAAGACTTTATTTTATGAGAAATATTCAGATACTCAGAAGTGTGAAAGTATGTATCAGTAAAAAGTACTTTAAGTATTGATACAGTAAAATGTTCCTCGTTGGTGTTTTATTATTATGTTTCTGGATTCATATTAGTGGTGCATTAATCTGTTTATCACTGATCAATGCTCCCCCTCTCACATGCAGACTGGTCTCAGGTTAGAATCTGGTTCTTTCCTTTCGGTTTCTGCAGATAAAAACTGAACATTCTTCAGCTCTGAATCAAGACACTGACACCTGCTGGCGAACTCCTGTAACTGCAGCTGGAACAAATAAATAAAGTGTAATTGCATCCTGATTGTTTTGCAGATTTTTCAATTTTAAACAAGTGCTTTGTTTATTTGATTGCTTCAATCTTCAATGTTTAGTCTTTTTTCTGACTTCAGCTCTTCACAGAAAATGAAACTACATTTTTTAATGGGAAGTGAAAAAAACAGTGAGCATTCATAAGTCACAATATGAATGCCTGAATGTGTTTAATGGTAAAATATTAGTTTGTGATCATGTGGAAGCTCAACAGATTGATTGCTGTCCACACGCCTGTATTTTACATTACAGCACCACGTGTATACTGAAAGGCAGTAATGGATACTACATGTAGAAGCTAAAAGTACCAATACTACACTATACATATGTGAATCAGCAAGTGAAACGTGTCCATACAAAACAAAACAAAACTATCTGCCATTATTAGTAAAATGATTGTTTCTGCAGTCGAATGTTTCCTGTCACGTCATAATTTAGTTCATCATAAACATTAAAAATCACCACTTTGAAACACGGTTTTCATTGGACCGAAAACGGGTACAAAAATGTCATTTTGTCTCTTTGTTGTTAATTAAACAATAATAACAAAATATACAGACATCTTTATAATATTAGTACAAATATACAGAAACTGTAACAATATGTATAAAAGTAAAAAGAAAATATACAGAAAACCTAAACAATATTTGAACAACAATAACAGTATTCTAACACATTGTTGTTATAATTATTAAAGGTATTGTTTAATCCAGCACGATGGATGTAAAAGTCGCAGCTGGTTCTGTTTTTCCAGCCGAGCTTCCGTAGTCCGGAAGTCTCATTGACAGCCTGTGCGCGACGTCTGCGACGTTGTTTTAACCTCCTCGTACAAACACCTGCAGGTTTCCGCCCTCTGACAAATACACAGGTGAGTTTATTCACGTTCGATTAAATCAACGCGTGCAGCAAAGTCACGATGAAAACCGGAAGCATTTTATGTTGTTTCCGTTCTTTATAAATTCTATTTTATTTCATATGTAACGTTAGGTCACAAATCTATTAACGTTAACTGACAGAATGAACTAAAGTATCACAAGTATTCATTAGAATATCCTTTGAGACGGAAGTTTAAATGACACGTGACAAGGTCACAATACTCATCTTTATCAATAGTGTCAACTATCGAGAGAAACACGTGACTTTTCACCCAGTAAAATTATATATAATTACACACACACACACACACACGTTGCATCCGGTTACAACTGGCTCTAAAAAACTAAAACATCAGTTGTGACGTGAGATTACAAAAATTATATTATGAATTGAATCCAGGCAGAAACTTCCACATAAGGTCAATAAATCGAAACACCAGTGCTACATTTTAATATGATAGCACGCTGTGTATTGAAATGACTACACGTTGTATGAGTGACTAATTGGGGCTCAGTTGTATTGAAACGATAAATCAGCAGATTCAATCATTTTGAGGCAAATAAAATGTTCAATAATGACACGAGGTGTGTGTGTGTGTGTGTGTGTGTGTGTGTGTGTGTGTGTGTGTGTGTGTGTGTGTGTGTGTGTGTGTGTGTGTGTGTCGTCGTCGTCGTCGTCCCCTCAGATGCCCCCCCGGCCTCTGGAGCCTCTGGCCAAGCGGCTGCTGAAGGGCCTGATCGCTGTGGAGCTGCTGGGCGTCCTCGGGGCCTACGGACTCTTCCAGCAGATGAACAGCAGTCGAGGTGATGGATGCAGTTCTTCTTGTGTCATCGTAGTGGAAACTGAACTGGACTTTACGTTTACTTTTCCACCGCAGATTTCAGGAACACAATGAAGAGACGGTTTCCATCGGTTCTAGAAGGTGAGAATTGTTCGTTTCAAACACTTGAGGGGGGGGGTCACTCACTCCAGATGTGCCAGCTAAAGCATTGAGAGCGAAGCCGCTGCTTCTGAGTGGATCTGTGGCGTGAGATGATCAGAGGAGACGCTGCAGAACATCCCCCAGCGACACCAAGGCCCCGTATCGCCAACATGGCTTCAGAAGAACAACAAGGAGCCGAGTGTTCTGAGTCCCTGCGGTAGATTTGAGCAAAACTACTATGTTATCTTTTGTAAAAGCTTCAGGGAGCCACATGCCGACCTCTGACCCCTGGTATCAACTGACTTTTTCCGATATAATAAACTTTGACCTTCATGACTTACTATACATTGATACGAGGCAACATGAAGAAAAAAACAAAACAGATTTAAAATCATTTTAATGGCATCAAACGTATCCATCTCTATAAACTGAATATGAAAGTGTTAATCATTTTGATGTATAAGTCGTGTAACAACATGGCGTGATGTCAAAGTCTTTGTTCCTCCTAGTCTACTACCAGTCCAACGAGTGGGCGGGGCTACACGGCCTCCGGGAGAAGGACCGCGACGCCTGGGCGCTCAAACAGGAATGAGGACGTCGGTGACGCCGCTACTTCCTGCTCCTCTTGCCGCCGGACGCCCTGCCCCCCCCCCTGGCCCGGGAGAAGCTCCTCTTCATGCCGAACGCGCTCTTCTTCCTGCGCATGGTCTTGGCGTCGCGGCCTTGCATCCAGTCGTCCCGATTGGCCTCCCACTTCAGCTGCTTCAGGGCTGCAGAGCACAAAGAACACAATCAGAGGCTGATTGATTTTTATGGATCTACAGGACGACAGCGGCAGGAAGTCGGCTTGTTTCAGATGTCTGGACGGATGCGTTTCTCTCCGAGTCCATTAAAGAAGAACTGAATAAAGCCCTGGATGTCATTTCCCCTCGTTCAGCCCACCTGCTTTGTCCTTGTTCGCCATGGCGTTCAGTCCGATGCTGTCGAACTTGGACCCTGCGTTCTCATCCAGCAGGGAGCCGAACTGCGTTACACATAAATCAGATCAACATTAGAAAACAGTCGTGCTGCAGTTTGTCTGTAAACTAAAAAGTCAGATTGGACTTGATAAATGATAAAAACCTCGTCAGCAGACACGAACATGGCTGCATCGGTCTTTCCTTTCTTCTTCTTTCCACGTTTAGAATCTGAGATGAGCGACAAAGGTATTAGGATCACTAGGAACAAGTTGTTTTACCTGTTATTAATCATCAATATCAGAGGAATCAGAATGACTCACGGATCATGAGTCATCCAAAATCTATATTTTATGTGGTTCATCCAAACTACATCTTACAGGTTGTTCTTGACAGATTTACGTTATAAAGTATAAAAAGCCACATAAGCACAAAAAGAAATGTATGTAACCTGAGGAGTCGGGCTCCTCTGAGGATTTCCTTTTTCCCTTCCTGGTACGAGGAGTGATGTCGGGAACCTTCATCTCATCCTCGGAATCTGCAGGAAAAAACAAACCACTCAACCGTTTGTAAGGCGAGCAGATGAAATGCAGCTCTCTGATTGGTGGAGAGCGAGTCACAGGGTGCACTGTGTGTGACATCGACCTCAGTGCACACTCAACAATATATATGTAATATGTATCTCAAGTACTCCGAGAAGTACCAATACTTTACTCTGAATACCACAACGTGCATTCTTCATTTCCTGTTTTTATAGTTCATGTGTTTGTTTTTTATAATTAATTATAATTATATTTAACAGGCCTGTGCTATGAATCCTCGGTGTGATAAAGATTCGTTATTTTGTGAACTCACCATTGAACGCGTCGTCCTCCAGAACCGGAACTGAGAGGAGAGAAAAAAACATTAATGGAAGGAAGATATTTCATTTAGTATCCGGCTCTATTCTTTAAAGTCTTCTCATACGCTCTTCAGAACATGTTCAAGGAATCAGACAAATCACATTAGTTTGATTAATATAACTAAACTCAACGTCGTTGTCAGACATTTTAACGTGACATTTTGTAAAAACACTTTTAAAATTTTAAAATTCATCAACAAATCAGAGGCGCTAGGCACCTTCGTCATCGTCATCCTCATCTCCAGCCGGATCCATGAAGGCTCCTCCTTCCTCCTCCAGCTCGTCTCCGAAGTCCTCCTCGTCCATGCTGCCCAGAGACACCTCCTCGTCGTCCAGGTCGTCCTCCTCAGAGTCGTCGTCGGAGTCCTCGGCGCCTTTCTTGCTCTTCTTGCTCTTCACGTGGCTGAAGGAGAGAAGAACTGACTGATCAACAATCAATAATCAACAGTCTGAGGCAGAAGTTAAGTGTTATTAACTGTTATTACTGCAGCATTCGGTTTGTTGCTCATCAATACATAATCAATAAGCCAACCGCTCACCCTGCAAAGTCCAGATCATCGATGGCCATCTCAGTGAAGTACGAGTCTCCCTCCACGGAATCTGAAACACGTTGAAACGTGTTATTAGTGCAAACGGGATTTAAGAGCAAAACAAGAAGAAATACGATTATTCAGCAATGAACTAAACATTACTACAAAAATTAGTATTTTTCATCAAATGTCAAAGAACACAAATGTTTAAACAGAGGATATATATGTGTTTAAAAGGACAATTTCATCCAAATACTTCAAAGTAAAAGCTCAGTATCGACCTTTTAAAAGCACAAATTAAAACACTCAAGTGAGGTTTCATTTGTTTCATTTTAAGGGCCGACATCAATTCAAGTGTTTAATTGTAAAAATTAACCAGATGTCGTTTTCCTGCGTTATTATTATTGGATGTTTTGCAGCCGGCTGACGTGTTACCCGGCAACCGGTTGCTCCTCTCCACTCACCGAGCATCTTCTCAAACTCCTCGTCGTCGACGTCCTCCACGCTGGCGTTGTCTCCGTCTCCTCGAGGACGACGGGACGGAAGCTGCTTCTCCTGCAGACGCTTCCGGAAGAAACTGTGGAATGAAACATTTAGAACGGCGCTTCAGCTCGTGAACGTCTACGGAGAGAGACCCGCGAGGAAAAGTGAATTTGAAGCGTTTCAGCTTCCAGCTGCTGGGAGTCATTTTGAGGAGGAAGAGGAGAAACAAAAAGGAGCTGGTGATGAACTTCCACGTGGAAGCTTAACTTTAACAGTGAAAAAAGGAAGAAATGACAGAGAGATACTGCTCTGATGAAATCCCATTGATCTGCCTGTGGAACCCACCGATGGAAGAAGACCTCCTCCACGGGGATCTGGCTCTCCTCTTTGGAAACAAACTCCTCGCAGTTCACTGAGAGACAGAAGGACAGAGTTCAGCCCCGATGGGACACAGAGGGGAAGCACTCGCAGCGCAGGACTCACCGGGCAGCTCGCTGAGGGGGAACCGCTGCCTGGGCATCAGCGCCGCAGAGTCCGTGTTCTCTGTAGAAGAGCAGACGTCCACATGTTCAAAGGAGTGAAAACATCTGCTTCAGTGGAGGACAACAGGGACTAAGAAGACGTTTCTCACGTTTCCCCTTCAGTTGTTTCGGGTTCCTGAAGACGAACCGGTCCAAGAACCTGATGAGGGTGAAGTCCTGCAGAGGGTCCCCGGAGTACTGGATGGACCCCCCCTGGAGACGACACGCAGCACTCATGAAACACCACAGAGGAAGAGAGCAGGCGGCGTTTGGATGAAGCTTCTTACCTCCAGGATGGTTTTAGCAAACAGCGACACTGACGGGTGGAAGTGAAGCGAGAGCTGAACATCAGGGGGAGAAAAACACAGGAAGGGAAAATATCATCATCAATATATATACATATATATGTGATATATGTGATGTATGTGAGGTTTGTTTCTCACCCTCTGCAGTTCCCACAGAGTCGTGTGGTCGGCGCCGCAGTACAACGGGTTCCTGTGCAGCGGGTCGTAGCTGCTAATGCTCTTCCCTCCTGAAAGAACCAACAATCAGTCAACAACAACGACGACTGTTTAGTATAAAAGGAGGAGAACATCGCGGGTGGCATCTACAGCAAACGTTTGATGGGAAGATGAAAGGATTCATCACTAATTATCGGACCAACATAGCAAACAAAGCAACAATAAATTATGTTTTTTTTAACTTAAATTTTTGATTTTAAATCTCAATTTAAGGAAAAGGTTGTTTTATCGTTTTCAAATTCATTTTCCACTGGAGACCTGACAGGAGAAAACACACACCTTCCAGGTTCTGGTGATGTACCCATGATGCAGTGGGCTTCGCCACCTCGGGCGCCGCAACAACTCCTTCCTCCTGTTTGTCAGCGTCCACAAAGCGCTCCTCTTCATCATCATCCTCCTCAGCGAGGTCTTTGAACTCCTCCTCCTCTCCGTCCTGAGTGAACAGGAAGTGATGCAAAAGAATCAGCAAGGAAACCATTGTTTAAAACCAATTTAAAAAGTCAGATGATTATTTCTATTTTTAGCTACAGAATACTTAACGAGGTTAGAAGGGAAAAAGGTGTATTTTAAAATTCATATAATATTATATACTAAATAATTCATTTAGAATGTTAAGAACACATTAGGACCATATTAACATTTTAAGCGGTTTGTGGCCTGATGTCATTACATCTGTTAATAATGTAATAATAATGTAAATGAAGACGGAGAGCCCTCACCCCGTCCTCCAGCAGCAGGATCTTCAGGCCCGGTTTGGCCTTCATGACCTCTGACACCAGGAAGAGCGCCCCGCAGGCGAAGCTGGCCCCCTGCTCGGCGCTGACCTGCAGCAGCCGCTTCACGAAGGCCTTGACCCGCCGCAGCACGATGTCGGCCTTCAGCGACTTGTACAGCAGGTTGAGGAACATGCTCTGCCTGGAGCAGGACGAGAGGCCGGGGTCCATCAGCTTCCTGTAGGGGGGGGGGGGGGCATTTAGATGTTCGTCTGTCCTCAATCTCCACTCAGATCCATCCGAGCTGCTCGTTCTTTGCATTTGTACGTTTAACATTTTCTGAAGTTCTTCTATTTTCTATTCTAACCGGATCCAGGATTGCAGGATTCCAGTCTGGGTCACCAATAATGAATTGATGACGGAACGAGATACAACAAAACCTTAAAAAGACACAAAATGTTTCAATAACGTTTGTATAACAACAACAAGTCCTGAAAGGAAACAAGCTATTTGAATAAATGTTTACGCGATTCACCAGATTGAATCATCTGACTTATTAGAAGAACTTGTGTGAAATAACAATGATCCTGCCTACAAAAGATAAGAAGAAGAAGATGATGATGATGATGATGAGAGGCGAGGAAGGCCTTACCTGTACAGGGCCACGTAGTACCGGTCCGAGACGCTCTGCTGGGAGTCCATCACCTGGAAGAGCAGCATGAGCGCCTGGACGGCCGTGTTGAACTTCACCAGGTGCACCACCTTGAACAGCGTGTCCAGCTGCTCCCTCACCTTCTCGTCTCCGGCGTCGGCGTACGGGTAGGCCCGGTTCACGCCCGACAGCAGCCCGCTCAGCATCTTGGACTCCACGTCCTTCTTCTTGACGCAGGCGCGGAAGAAGGAGAAGTAGATGCCGATGAGCTTGGCGGCGAGGTCCGCCTCCTCGTGGCTGAGCATCACCTGGCTGAGGAAGCAGACGGCGTAGTACTGCGCCTTGGCGCTGATGTTGGGCCGGAACATGAGCCGCTCCACCTCGCAGCACACCACCGCCTTCATGTTGGGGTGCTTGTGCAGCAGCGACTCCAGCAGGTAGGAGGCCTTGGCCGCCGTCTTGTACTCGGGGTCGCCCAGCTTGTTGACCACCTGACCCAGCAGCGCCCTCTCCTGCTCGGGGCGGGCGGACAGCATCTCGTGGGCGGTGGACAGCGCCTTGGCCTTGGTGGCCGCCACCGTGTCGTGGGACACGGCGTCCAGCGCCACCACGAACTCGGCCACGAGGAGCTTTAGGCGGTGCTCGAACAACCAGAGGACGAGGCGGCGGTCGCGGACGTCCCGGTTGCCGCTGGCCCGCTCTTCCAGCTGGTCGAAGGGGCGCTGGGCGAAGGGGCGGAGCTTCCGGCCCTCCGGCAGCAGGTTGGAGAGCAGCAGCTCGCGCAGCGTGTCCAGCGCCATCAGGCTCATCCGCCGGCTGCCCCTCTTCTTCACCATGGTCACCAGGTTCTCCACGTGCTCCAGCGTGTGCACCGGCGCGTCCTGGATCAGCACCGTCATGGCCGCCATCCGGTCCGCCAGCACGCCGGAGGAGACCACCGACTTCATCCAGTTGGAGTTGGCGCCCTTCTGCATGTTCTTCTTGCTCTTGTAGAGCGCCACGTCGGCCTCGTACAGCTGCTGGGCCAGCGCCTTGTACTGGGTGACCAGCGAGGGGTCCTGCTCGGCGGTGGAGGCCTCGGCGGCGTAGTCCATGTCGAACCACTTCCCCCCGGGCTTGATGAGCAGCACCGGCCTCCGTTGGAACTCAAACACGTTCACCTTCTGCTTCTTCTTCGCCTTCTGCTTCTCGTCCTTCTTCGCTCTCTGCGCAGCGGCCTCCTCCTCGGCTTTCTTCGCCTTTGCGGCATCCTCCGCGGCTGCCTTCTTGACGTCCTCCTCGCCGTCCTCCGGCTCGTCCGGGATCACCTGCACTCCGGCGAAGGCGCGGACGCCGAGCTTGGCGATGAACTTCTCCAGCTCGCCGTCCTCCAGGTCGTCGATGGCTCCTTTCTTTCCTCCGTCCACCAGCTCGTTGGAGTCGTCCAGGCCGGCGAGCATGACGTAGTCGGCCTGGAGAAGAAAACCGCCATTTAATGATGATCGTCAATAAGATGAACGGAGGTCAAGTACAGACGCCACAATACTTTGGTTTTTATTCCTGTTTTTTTCTAAATGTGCATTTACCTGCATTTTTGTATATTTATTTATAACACAGTTCTGAAAAATGTGGTTTAGAGCTGGAAAGATTTAAAACATTTAAGCTAAAATTGGTTTGGTTCTAAAGTCTTAAACACGCAAAATATTAAATGTACTATCATTTAATATTCACGTACTCGGGTTGAGTACAAGTACATCAAGTGTGTACTCTAATAAATAATCTTCCAGCATTGGCTTCAGATGGACAGGAGTGACTGCAGGACTTCTGAACATCTGGCTGAACAGATGTTGAAGGTAGAATTAGTTAACATGATTTTAACCAGTTGTGCACTTTATTTTTTCATTTTAAAATATTTTTTACTTTAACTTTTATTGCTTTATTTTAAACTAACCCATAGCATTATTTTATATTTCATTCATTGTCTTGTCGTTCCTTGTCGTACTGTCTGCTGTTACGCACCAACCGCCAAGTCAAATTCCTTGTATGTCTGACATATTATGGCAATAAATGTTTCCTGATTCCTGATTGTGGAGGAAGTATTCAGATATTTCCCTTTTTGAAGTAGTAATACTTTGCTACAAGAAAATGCACATCAGTATAATAATATAAATAGGCTGCAGCGTACTTGGAGTACTGGAGGTACTCCGTATGTAGTATACTATAATATACAGCATAGGATTGCATTATTATGAATACTGATGCATTTTAATGTTCATACCACCATTTGCTATTCTGCTGGGTGACTTATAAAAATACAACATATTTCAGTTGGTTTGTATTTATTGATAAAGTAGAAAGTGCCACATGTGTTGCGTAGTTAGAGGCAGAAAGTCTCTCGTTTGTTTCAGTAGCTGTTACGAGGTTTCGTTCGGGTGACTCGCCTGCGTCCCTCCGAGCCGCAGAACATCGTCCAGGCTGAACTCTTCCTCTTCCTCTGTCGCGCTGTCTTCCCCCCCATCAGCCTCCGGATCTCCATCTTCCTCGCCACTGATGTTTTCGGCCTCCATGTCGGCTTCTGCGGGCTGGAATGTCCCTTTGGACTTTCTACGGCGCTTGTTTATCGCCGCCATGCTTCCTAACAGCATGGAGAGAGAACGTGACCCGGATGTGGAAGGACACGGCACGGAAGCGTTTCCGTGCTTGGAGAAAAGAAACAAAATATGTTCGTATTTTTTCTTACGTAAGGCTTTTTAGTAGTTAAAAGACAATGTAATATGTACACGAAAAATCTCTGTCATTTTATTCATTTTTAAAATAAAGCTATGGTGAAGAACAACCACTTCCGGTTGTTGCTCAAATAGCCAATAACAATATTTTGTCCCAACTACGTAATCCCCCATTTGACCAATCAGAGAGTTTGTCGAGATGTCAAGTTTACCACTCTTACCATTCTGATACACGCCGGAAAAGCATTCGAAATTACGTTTCAAAATAAGATCACAAATGCTATTCATCATGTAGCTGACAGCTGAAAAAGAAAGAGAAACAACTCCAAGGAATATGTTGTTATTATTGTAATAGGGCGAAAATTAGTTAATGTTCTTGAAGCATACATTTCTTTTCAATTTCATAATTTGATAATAAGTATCTACCACTACTATTACTTGTACTATTTTACTTTTTAGTTTCATTCAATTATATCTTTAGAAACGCTCCCGGTGCAAATGAACAAATGAAAATAAGGTACAAATCAGCAACAGCAACAGCAACAAACACATAAATGATCATGTAGTGCAATATTTTTTGTATATAGAAATACAAGTAGTGTAAACATAAATACTGACAGGTGAATAAATACGTTCTCTGATATTCTCTGAAGATATTTATGGAATGAGGTGTAATAAATGTTGTGTCGATTAAATCCTAAATAAACAGACACAAACAGAAGGATACTTAATACGATTTGTTGAATTTATTACTGTCAGACTCAGGGGGTGAAGGTTCATCTCTCTTTGCTGGAGAGTTCAGTTCTTCGGGCTCAGGGTCTGGTGGAACCATCCCCGGGAGTTCATGAGCAGAAATCCCACCCGAGGACTGTGGGAGGAAGCAGAGGTTCCTTTGGACGGATCATAGTGCTCCAGTTCTGGGACGTAATTTGGCCCTAGATCAATACCTCCACTGGGGTGTCCGACTCCGTGCAGTCTATCTTAGGGGACCAAGGCTCGCTCAGACATAGTTTCCCTGTCAGGTTTTGGGGGTCTTGAGGCTCAACAGTTTTTGCAGTTTATAGGCCTCCTTTAACTTTGGTGACGACGAGGCCTAAAGTCAAATTATGCAAATTAGTTACAACGAAAGGAGTGATTCTTTTACTGGTTTATCTTTTGGCATGAAAAGTTTAATTTCCAAAATAAGTGTCAGCGTGCCGGATGTTAAATGTTTCCTGATTCCTGATGTGTGAAAGCGGAGCAGCCCGTGAGTAACCACAGTAACGGACCGGAACTCGCAATGCACTCTGGGTACTGTCATGGCGGCTAGTGCTTGAAGTTGCCACAACGTTTTGTCCACTGCTTCTAGTTGTTGTCGTAACGTTTGTAAGTAAGCCCGCTAACATATAAATTGGGGCATTAAACCTGCCAGCAAACATGGCGTCCACCGCGGCAGGTAAACAGCGGATCCCGAAGGTGGCGAAGGTGAGAAAGAGAAAAGAGCCATGAACTTCATTAACTTCGTTTAAGCTAACATGCTAACAGCTAGTTAGCGCTGATTTTTGAAGGCGCAGAGCGCGAGAAAACGTTAGTGCTCGTTTGCTATTGACCTTGTGCGGGTCGTTAAATCTATAATTTATGTGAATAGCACATACGTTGAAATATTGTTTTAGAGTCTGACGTAAACCGCTTGTGCTCCGCAGCCGTATTATTCTCGTGTGTCCGACACGCTGCGCTTTGTTTGGGTTTCCGTGTTTACGCTCGGATGCGCTGTTGGATCCGTGACTCCTGTTTCTACCCTGAAGGCTTTCCCCTTTCTGGAGACTCATTTGAAACATGTTTGACAAAGCTCGCCACTCAAAAACCTACCTAACGTTAGTGTTTTTATGAATAGTTAAAAACAAGGTTACATCGCTAAACAAACATAAATGCGACACCTGTTTGTTTTTGCTCCCACCGATCATACGTTGAAGTAACAGATCTGATGCTGCATAGTTCTACAGTGGCCTTTTATTAAGTCTCACCTAAGTAATAATCAAGCAGTGCATTGTTACGGAACACCTGTCAGGTGGACTGATTATTATCCCGAACGATTGGAACAAATTAGTGAACACAGTTTGTGAATAAGAAGCATCTCTGTGTGCATAGTAAACGTGTTGGTGACTGAGGAGGGCAAATTACAGACCCCCGCATGAGTGAAACGTCTACTAACAATTTACATTCAACAATCGATAATACCACGAAAAAGCCTGAGCTCCACCTAGTTCAAGTCTGATGAACTTGATTGTGATACACACCGAGTACTGTGATAACCAAGTGGAACTTGTTTTCACTCCACCTGTTGAACCGTAACGTAGTTGTGTGCATCTTCTACAATTCTGTTTGGAAGTTTTCTTATTCCATGCAAATCATTTAAGAGACTGCTTAAACATTCACATGGAATCAGTCATATTCCCCTACAGTCATTCCATATTTGTATAATACTACCGAAACACAAGTAGCCATGTTTTTCTCTCAGGTACCTGTTGATTAAAACGAGCATCAGAATAAGTGACATTATCATGAAATGGAATGAAAAAACATCTGACACTTTGACGAGTACTGGATAGTCTGTGTTAAGACACAAAGACCCCGACTGGAGTGGCGTCACATTGAAGTTGACGTTTCTTCTTGTGTCTGCAGGTGAAGAACAAAGCTCCTGCAGAGGTTCAGATCACCGCCGAGCAGCTGCTGAGGGAAGCCAAGGAGAGGGAGCTCGAGCTTCTGCCGCCGCCGCCCAAACAGAAGATCACAGACGAGGAGGAGCTGAACGACTACAAACTCAAGAAGAGGAAGGTGAGCGCCAGCCTCTCTGTTTGCATTCCAATGTGCAGTATCAGTAATATCAGATTCGCTGTTGAAAGTATGTTCATGTTTTAATTTACACATGAAAAATTGGGGGGTCTGGCTGAACATTTAGAAAGAATGGCTGTTTACAAAATGATTAAGGCTATAAGAGGGAATTATCATTTCTACGTTATTCTCTTCATTGAAAAAGATATTCACATGATGATTGTTTGATTTTTCTGGAAATCTTTTCTCATTCAGATTGGTTGTGCTGTCTAGTTGAGATCATGAATCATCATACTCTGATCATACAGATCAGATATCTGTAATTTTCTAACTATTCCTCGATTCATTTTCTTTTCTTCATTAAGGGCTTTGAAGACAACATCAGAAAAAATCGGACTGTCATCAGTAACTGGATCAAATACGCACAATGGGAGGAAAGCCTGAAGGAGATCCTGAGGTATTAAGGGAGACGATTCTTCTTCCATCTTTTTTCCTGTCAATATATCCGGCACACGTCTTAGCCGTAATGTTTAATCCCCACATCGTCTCGCCTCCTCCTCTCCTCAGGGCCCGATCCATTTACGAGCGAGCGCTGGACGTCGATCACCGCAACATCACACTGTGGCTGAAGTACGCCGAGATGGAGATGAAGAGCCGGCAGGTGAACCACGCCCGCAACATCTGGGACCGAGCCATCACCATCCTCCCACGAGTCAACCAGTTCTGGTACGAACAAAGTCCCAGTTTGGGCTTATTTTGACATTTACAGACAGTTGAACAGCGATTAGCTGCTTACGATATTAGTCACGGGTCAGATCACTCATCAGAGTCCCACAAAAGAAAAGAGAGAAAATAAAACCTCCCGATGACGTTTACTGGCGCTGAAACTAATTGATGATCATTATTGATCAACATTAGCGGATACAGATCAAATCAATGTCATAATGGTAGGGGAAACACTGATGTCTGTCCAGATATCTACCTGTGCTTCATGCACCTTTTGACTTGCCGTCCCGTAACAGGTACAAGTACACCTACATGGAGGAGATGCTGGGGAACGTCGCCGGCTGCCGGCAGGCCTTCGAGCGCTGGATGGAGTGGGAGCCCGATGAGCAGGCCTGGCACTCCTACATCAACTTTGAGCTGCGCTACAAGGAAGTGGACAAAGCCCGCACCATTTATGAGCGATATATCCTTCTTTGTGGGTGATTTTGACGTGTTGAGAGCTGAATGGTAATAAATGTGGTAATCCAATTTGAGGAGGACAGAGAGAAGGCAGCAACAGGGGGACAAGAGGACAAACTAACTCAAAGGATGTTGAAAGTGTGTCCTCAAACATCTTGATTTGTCCCACCAAGAGTCCAAAACGCAAATCAGCAGATCCTCACATTAGACAAATATTGTCTTTGTTTAAAAGACTTGATTATAAAAAGATCTTCGTGGTGTAAAAAAACCCTAACTCCGCTGCACTCGTCCTCGTTCACCCCGAGGTGAAGAACTGGATCAAGTACGGCCGGTTCGAGGAGAAGCACGGCTACATCGCTCACAGCAGGAAGGTGTACGAGAGGGCGGTGGAGTTCTTCGGAGAGGATTACGTGGACGAAAACCTCTTTGTGGCCTTCGCAAAGTTCGAGGAGACACAGAAAGAGGTTTGTGATGAACGAAGCCAACAGACTCAAACCAAAGCCTCGTGCTTTCAAGCCCAGCCGGAGCATAAAGGCGTCCTCGTCTTCTGTCTTCCTCAGTTTGAACGGGTTCGGGTGATCTACAAGTACGCTTTGGACCGGATCCCTAAACACCAGGCGCAGGAGCTCTTCAAGTTCTACACCATGTTTGAGAAGAAGTTCGGAGACCGCAGGGGAATCGAGGACGTCATCGTCAACAAGCGGCGCTTCCAGTACGAGGAGGAAGTCAAGGTATTGATTTGGTTCGCGCCAATCATCTCTGACGTGCATGAAGTGTCTGATTCTTTGTCCATCAGTGAGTCACAAAGTTATTTCTTTTTCATAAAATCTGTTGTCGTCCTTTTTAAACACAACATGTCGGCCTGAACGAGATCTATTTCTGTTCACTCTCGGTGATCAGCGGGAGGAAAGAAATGTCCCTTCCTGTTCTCCCCGCTGACGTCACTTCCTGTCCCTGTCAGGCGAACCCTCACAACTACGACGCCTGGTTCGATTACCTCCGCCTAGTGGAGAACGACGCCGACCCCGACACGGTGAGGGAGGTGTACGAGAGGGCCATCGCCAACATCCCCCCCATCCAGGAGAAGAGACACTGGAAGAGATACATCTACCTGTGGATCAACTACGCTCTGTACGAGGAGCTGGAGGTCAAGGTGGGCTCACTCTCTGCTCCTCACCCACAAGGAAGGAGTCCTAGAAAAGTCAAATTATTAACAAGGGGAAACCTTTACGTTGTGTGGGAGAGATTAAAAGATGACAAAAAACGAAAAATACATATAGGAGCCATGATCTCAATAACATTTAAACGATTTTATTCAGGATGCGGAGAAAACGAGGCAGGTGTACCAGGCCTCTCTGGACCTCATCCCACATAAAAAGGTAATTCACATTTGAGTTTTTTCTTAGAATGCCGCTCGGATTCTGTTTTCTTCTCACAGAAACGTGTCGGCACTGTGAGTTAAAGTTCCACCAGACTGTGATCCTCTTGTGCTCCTTTCGTTTCAGTTCACATTCGCGAAGATCTGGCTTCTCTACGCTCAGTTTGAGATCCGACAGAAGAACCTACAGGGATCCAGAAGGGTCATGGTGAGCTTGCAAAATATATATATTACTCTATATCAATATTTAGCTTACATTTACCTCTTTGTTGTGTTTGTTAGGTAAACGGCTTATGGTCTCAATCTCTGGTTTAAAGTCTTCATCACCGCATGATGTTCAATTAGTAAATTATTGTCCATTTAGAGTCCAACAGACCATGAACCAGGAGATGCTTTAGGGCGGGACTAGACGCTGATTGACAGGTCTCTACGTCACTCCAGCATCAGTCCAACATCATTAAATGTTGTTGTGATCTGGTGAAGAGGCGTAGTTCTGAGTTTCTTGCTAACATTAGGTCGAGCATTGACCGTGTCCCTTCGAGCACTAAAGGCATCAACCCTTTGGTTTGTCCTCCTCAGGGCACGGCCATCGGTAAATGCCCGAAGAACAAGCTGCTGAAGGGCTACATCGAGCTGGAGCTGCAGCTGCGAGAGTTTGACCGCTGCAGGAAGCTGTACGAGAAGTACCTGGAGTTCAGTCCGGAGAACTGCACCACCTGGATCAAGTTCTCCGAGCTGGAGACCATCCTGGGAGACGTGGAGAGGGCCCGCGCCATCTTCGAGCTCGCCATCGGACAGCCGCGGCTGGACATGCCAGAGGTATTCATTCTTTGGTTGTTTTTTTTAAGGGATATGGACCAAAAAAAAATATTCCCACTGATATTCAACTGTTTTATTTTTGCACCCCTTTGTCTTTCGTTGGAGCAAGTTAGAAAAAGCTGATAGTAAAAGCACAGCGTTTATTCTAAATGGTCTAATTATGGTAAGGGAGACTTTTTGTTTCCCAGACTACAAGATCACAGTAAATTACATACCGAATACTCGTATGCAAATGCTGAATTAGAAGAAAGATATCAATGACGCTCTTAACTATTGGGAACATTTAAAAGAGTGTGTGTGTGTGTGTGTGTGTGTGTTTTTTTCAGGTGCTCTGGAAGTCCTACATTGACTTTGAGATCGAGCAGGAGGAGTTTGAGAACACCAGGAACCTTTACAAGAGGCTGCTGCAGCGCACACAACATGTCAAGGTGAGAACCGCGCGTTGCCATGGTGACGTCACTCATCGGTTTATGGCTGTCGCTATCAGTAAACAGGAAGTGACCATATAAGGACGTAGTGGGGGGTATTCTTATGTCAATCAGGGTGTAGCCCTGCCCTAAAGCACCCTGTTTATGGTCTGTTTGACTCCTAAATGTATGGAAGACTTAACTAGAGATTGAGAGGAGTCGCCCCCTACTGGTCACTACAGAGAATGCAGCTCCAGCTTCACTTCAAAGAACCAGAAGTTGGCACTGAACCAACCACAGCACTCAACTGTGATAAGATGAACTCTGACTCCTCCTCTTCAGGTCTGGATCAGCTACGCTAAGTACGAGCTGTCCATCGACGGCCCCGACCGGCTGCAGAAGTGCCGGCAGATCTTCGAGGAGGCGAACAAGGGCATGAGGAACTGCGAGGAGAAGGAGGAGCGGCTGATGCTGCTGGAGTCCTGGAGGGACTTTGAGAGGGAGTTTGGCTCTGAGAGCTCCATGGAGAGGGTGAGGAAGCTGATGCCGGACAAGGTGAAGAAGAGGAGGAAACTGACTGCTGAGGACGGGGTGAGAACATGTTCATTTGAGACGCAAGTCCATCCACTTTTGTTTAACCACAATAACGTATATTGAGATTTTTATTGTTTTTCTGTGCACTTGGTTTGATCATAACATCCCTTTCTGTACATGAAACAAGATATGTAGATATATAAAGAGTTGGTCTTGGATTGATCTGATGGGGGAACTAATAGAGCGCAATAATGAAGTTGCATTCTAAGCTATGACTCAAAGAACAGATGTTGACGGTTGAACGTCTTTCAGTCGGACGCGGGCTGGGAGGAGTACTACGACTACATCTTCCCGGAGGACGCTGCCAACCAGCCCAACCTTAAGCTGCTGGCCATGGCCAAGATGTGGAAGAGGCAGCAGATGGTCGAGGACGAAGACGACAACAAAAGCCCGGAGGAATCTCCCGAGGTGGCCGAAAACGACAAAAGTCCACAAGAATCTCCCGAGGTGGCCGAAGAGACGCAGACGACCTCGGACGAACCCGCCGCCCCTCCAGAGGCTGAAAGAGACGCAGAGATGGACAGAGACGACGAAGGCAGCAGTGAGAGTGACAGTGATGACGATGAGGGGAAGAAGGAGAGTAAGAGCGGGGGTGAAGATAAAGAGTAGATCTCCGCTCAGTTCGACCTTTCTAACCACCTGTTTTTTTTATAACAAAGATGCATTTATTGTGCGATTGTTTTCTGCATTACACAAAACATCAATTCAAACTCACTTGTGGTGTCTTTATTCTTAAGAAATCATCAGAATTTACAGGAAGAGTTGATGGTAACGTGTGTGTGCAGCGTGGCTCTCTGACAGTGAGACTATGTACAACGTGACGGCGCATTAAATATGATAATAAAGATGTGATGCGGACGCAGAGAGCCACAGTCTGTTATTCGATGTCCTCCGGCCTGACGGGGTGCGGCAGCGGGACAATGGACTTCTTCTCCGTGTCCCGGGACAAAGCTTTCCTCATGTCTGCAAGAAGAACAGCGTGGGCTCGGTGAGGAGGGGGCAGTTTGTATTTAAAAAGCTTCAGAAACAAAAAAAATGATCCAGAGAAACAAAGCTGTGTCAAACAATCGCATCGTTTTGTTTTAGTGTCACGAGACAATCATCAATATCACTTCTGGTCCCTAACGACTCGTGCACCTGAACGCACCACAGTGAAAACTAGGGGTGGGAATCTCTTGGCACCTCACGATTCGATTCCGAGGTCAACGATTCGATTCTAAACTGATAAAACGATTCTCGATTTTCTAAATTTTCTCAAATCTGAGTTTGCTACTCCGAGGTTGCTAATCACTTCCTACTTTAATTATCAAATAAATAAAATCAACAGATGAATTACCTTCTCTAATTTTTTATAAGAAAATCATATTTGTGACAGATTTTTTTTCTATCAACAATGAAAGAACCAATGCAGCTTGCATTTCAACACAATATGGAAGTAGCCTATGTAAAAAAAAATATATATTAAACATTCATTTTTCTTTTAAATGAAGAAAAAGCTGCTCTTAGTCTCAGATAGTTGTCATCTACGGTCCACAACGATTACCTAAGGGGCGTTTCATCCCCTTACATTAGTGCGGAAATGGGCTTCTATCGTGGTGTGAATGCATCACTCCAGCCAATCCAAAGACGGGGTTTGTAACCAATCAGGTGTAGAGACCATGGCGAGCAATATCTCGCGCGAGACAGACTTTTTTAAATTTTTTAATTCCGATTATTAACTTTTCTGAATCGAGACCGAATCGTTCTAGAGAGAATCAAGAGAAAATAAAGCTGGAAGCTAATCCGTAAGTTGTTTTTTCATTTTTAAGGGACATGTCCTGCAGGTGGTATCCGGTCTCACCGTAGGCGTCTTCGTCCGGCTCCCCGTTGCTGGCGGAGTAATACTCGATCACTGTGCGGTACACGCTGTAGCCCAGACGCTTGTACATGTTCACCGCCACCTGGTTGGAGACTCGCACAAAGAGGTCCACAAAGAAGCCGCCCTTCCTGCAAGCAAATGTGGGGATTTTCAGAGTAAAAGCATCAAGACACAAGGTGCATGACACCGGTTCACATAGAGGATCAGGACTACACTACACTTGGTTCGACCTCCTCACCTCTCTGAGATCTCCTCCAACATCTCCATGAGTTTGGCAGCGAGCCCCAGCCTCCTAAACTCGGGGGCCACTGACAGCGCGGTCACGTGACCATGCCACTCCTCCCGGGCCACAGATCCCTCCGCCTTCCCCATGACTGAGAGAAACAAGCTTATCTCACTGAAGGTTCAAATGAAAACCAACACAAGTAAATATATGCATGATGAAACTCACTGTAGCCCATCAGTTCACCACCAGGAGCCTCGGCCACGATGAAGTACTCCGGCCAGTGAGCCAGGTACTGGAGGTAAAACGGGATGCCATACTGGAGGTCAAAGGTCAAAGACAACTGCAGACGACATTTGGACGTAATATGTTTGTTGTCAGAAGTTAAGACATTACAATACAATGATTTAAACGAAGGATACAGTTTCCGTCAAGGGGTCCAGGTTACTGTGGAGAAGAAAAAAAAGTTAATAAAACCAATTATTCAGAAAACACTTTATTACCAGTCAAACAAACACAACCAAATAATTCTATTTTCTTATACAACGACATGTAGAACTATTTCAATATTCATTCGATAGGTGTGGACAACCCGGCTGGGACCAATCGTGCTGATTTAAGAAGCCTTTCGTACCTCACGTCCGAGCCGGCTAGCTAGCTAACTAGCATTAGCTAGCTAAACAGACTGACTATTATTTACTAGAAGTACAGTTATTTGACTGATTAAATGTGTGCCGATGTATTCAGAGGACACCGACGATTCACACGGTGTTATAGTAGGGTTATGGCAAGTAGTATTTTCCTATTAACAACGGAACTGATACTCCCTCTCCCTTTTTTTAGAGAGAGTTCAGCACAGCATTCAGTGCTAATTCTAGTTAGCCTGCTAACGCTGATCAAACAACCGAAAGTGCAATAAAACTTCCACACGAGGCACCCGGAAGGTGAAAGTACTTCGCTTCACTCGGTGGAGTAAAACTGACAAAGCTTCACTCACATATTGTTGAATTTAAACAAATCATCGCAGGTAAACGGTCTCAATGTTGTCATGTTGGCTCGGTGTCCTTTCACCTCTCTGAGAGCGACATCAGCCTACTTCAAAAGGGCCAGAAGAAGAAGAGCGGCGCCCCCTGTCGCAGCGGAGGAGCACTGCAGCTGCAAAATACATGATACATGAATATGACGTTCTTCCACTAGTTTCATGGTACTGAAGAGGCTTATGATGAACACGGAGAGGTGGGTCCTTCTGCTTAAAAATACAAGGAAAATATTGATTATTATCTGGTCACACACTAAAACAATGGTATTGGCATTGTATTAAGGTTAAGAGTCACAGAACAAACCATTGTTATCTTAAATTGATTCCTGTCAATGTTAATTGAAAGCTGTGAAATGATTTGCAGTTTATTATTCATTTATATCAGTATAAATAAAATACAAATCAATAAGACATCACTTTGATATCTTGTAAACTGCGATAGATATTTATCACTGTTTCTTTACTTCAGATTGACAGCACCTCACACTTCCTGTTTGACCTTTCCGCCACCGAATACTCCGGATGGGCCGTCGAGGTCGTAAGTATTACCAAGCAGAGACACTTTGGACAAACACACACTTTCCCCTTTCAGAGAGTTTGCTTTACGCAGATGAAACTGCTTGTCCATTGCTCATCGCTTAATCGACTCATGATGTGGAATCGTCTAACGGACGAACCCGTGTAATTTAATCTCTGCTCGCATTCCTCCCATCTGACATTCCATCTTCATCCTTAATGTCTCTGAGTCAACGTCATTCTGCAGGCTGAGCACATTTCTCCTCTTTAGTTCACCTGCTCTGAATTCTGGGTAATTCTCTCTGGCAAAATGTTCATAATAGCACTCAAAATGTCCTCAGACCCTCTGTGGCAGAACGTCACGTGGGTCCGTGACATTTACTCACAATTCATTACAATATAACCTTAAACACGGGTCACCAGCAGACGTCTGTACTTACTTACTGTATTTACACAGAAACAATGAGGGATGAAGATGGAACATAAAATCAGGGATTATTTCACAAACACGTTCGTGGAGTTTTGACAAAAACAAGTTCATGGACAATTTGAAATAGAAACATTGTGCGATGCTGATTCCCAGGCCCCCAACCCCCACCCAGGCCGGCTCCAACTGCAGGGGGCGCTCTCGCTCAGGGAAAGAAAAGCTTTTCCTGGCAGCAAGCTCACCACTGACTGGGTTTAACAACGTCCTGGACTCGGGCTGCTGAGCAGCCTGAGAGAGCAGACGAGCCTCTCTGGCGGCCCGGTAATGGGAGGCAGATGCCCCCCATCCCCCACTCCTCCCCCCAAATGAGGGAGATGTGGAACCAGTCTGAGTGCTGATTGTATATTTTGTTCTGTCGCTGTCAAACCCAGCGGTAGCCGGAAGGTGGTCATCTGATTGGTTCTCAGCACCACTAAGAGACTTTTGTTTAAACGTGCATTTCAAGACAACAGGTCAACATCAATCAGACACAACGCATCTGTTAGTTCACATTGACAATCGCTCCGGTCCATGTTTGGGGGTACATCTGTGACCTCTGACCCCCACATTCAGCTCTGTATTCTCATCCCAGCAGAAAGCGGCTGTGATGTAATCTCTGAGGGACGGTTTGAGGACGTGAGCGGCCCCTCAGGATGTTTTCTTCTCATCAAAGATCCTTTATTGGACGAACATGACGATAAATCAGCGGGAGTCGTCTGAGTATTTGGACGGTTTATAGAGACAAAACATTTGTTTTTTATCAGTGAAACTGAAGATGGAGAGCTGACTGCTTTCTGAGTGATGAGTAATCTGCAGCGTAATATCTGCATGGCCTTTATTTTCTACCAGAGGCGTATTTTGCGTCTCTACGTTGTCCTCAGTCCAAATATGGTCACTTCCTGTTTACACCTGTTAGAAGAGGAGAAGGTACTCATTTATTCACGTATAATTCAACAACTAAAATAAATAAATACATGTGGCAATTAATACATACACATTATTTATATTTATTTGTGTGGTGAGTTTCTGCTTTTTATTAGGCTGCAGGTTGTAAATAACAACAAAATATAATTCAGCCTGCTTCAAGGCCTCCACCATCATCCCTGTTCCCAAGAAGCCCAGGATCACAGGACTCAATGACTACAGGCCCATCGCCCTGACCTCTGTAGTCATGAAGTCTTTTGAACGGCTAGTCCTGACCCACCTGAAGACCCTCCTGGACCCCCTGCAGTTCGCCTACAGAGCCAACAGGTCTGTGGACGATGCTGTCAACATGGCCCTCCACTACATCCTCCAGCATCTGGACTCACCAGGAACCTACGCCAGGATCCTGTTTGTGGACTTCAGCTCTGCTTTCAACCCCATCATCCCGTCTCTGCTGCAGGACAAACTCTCCCAGCTGCACGTGCCCGACTCCACCTGCAAGTGGATCACAGACTTCCTGTCTGACAGGAAGCAGCACGTGAAGCTGGGGAAACATGTCTCAGCCTCTCGGACCATCAGCACCGGTTCCCCCAAGGCTGCGTTCTTTCTCCTCTGCTCTTCTCCCTGTACACCAACAGCTGCACCTCCAGCCACCAGTCCGTCAAGCTCCTGAAGTTTGCGGATGACACCACCCTCATTGGACTGATCTCTGGTGGTGATGAGTCCGCCTACAGGTGGGAGTCTGACCATCTGGTGTCATGGTGCAGTCAGAACAACCTGGAGCTCAACGCTCTAAAGACAGTGGAGATGGTTGTGGATTTCCGGCGGAACAGAGCCCCACCTTCCCCCATCACCCTGTGTGACTCCCCCGTCACTATTGTGGCTTCCTTCCGTTTCCTGGGCTCCATCATCACCCAGGACCTCAAGTGGGAGCTGAACACCAGCTCCATCACCAAGAAGGCTCAGCAGAGGTTGTTCTTCCTGAGGCAGCTGAAGAAACTCAACCTGCCAAAGACGATGATGGTCCACTTCTACACGGCCATCATCGAGTCCATCCTCTGCTCCTCCATCACCGTCTGGTACGCTGCAGCCACAGCCAAGGACAAGGGCAGGCTGCAGCGTGTCATCCGCTCTGCAGAGAGGGTGATCGGCTGCAATCTGCCGTCCCTGGAGGACTTGTTCGCTTCCAGGTCTCTGAAGCGAGCTAAAAAGATCGTGGCCGACCCCTCCCACCCCGGACAAAAACTGTTTGTGCCCCTTCCATCTGGCAGGAGGCTGAGGTCCATCAGGACGAAGACCTCCCGCCACATGAACAGTTTCTTCCCGTCGGCAGTCGGGCTCATCAACAGAGCCCGGTCCCCCACTGACTGACTATAACACTCCACCGGTCACTCCCCTGCACACTGCACATGTCACTTTAACTGTAATTTTTCACTTTGACGTCACTCGTCACTTGTTCGCTAGTGCACTTTATGCTTAATATTTTTTTACTTTTTTAATATTTTAAATTTTTAACTTTATTCTCTTGTTTTATACTAACCCATAGCCTTATTCTACTAACCCATTGCATTAGCATTTCATTTTACTTTATTTCATTACTTGTGCACTGCTGTCTTGTCTACTGTCCCGCACCAGCTGCCAAGACAAATTCCTTGTATGTTTGACATATTTTGGCAATAAATGTTTCCTGATTCCTGATTCAAAAACAGGAACATTTTACCCAAACAGATCACTTCTTTATGAGTTTACAGCATGTTGAATGCTGTGATGTGTTTCAGGAACAAACCCCTCCCTCCTCTGGAGACCCACAATGCATTGCTGGACCTTCTGCAGGGTAGGGGGGCCCGAGGGAACCTGGACTGAGGGGTCAACCTGTGATGCCCTGTAGTAGAATGAGAGGTTCTGCGGAGGGATTCTGGTGCTGGAGACGCTACCACTTCCGTCCACAGGGGGCACCAGTCAAATGAAAGTTCCCTTTAGAGAAATTATTCTTTATTAAGACATAAAAGTAATGTTGTGACATGTCGTGGATTACAAATCACTAACAATAATGATGATAAACACGTGAAAACCATCCGCTGCTTTGAGGACCAACAGCTGGAGGCAGTTTGGACAGAAGAAGAAGAAACGTCTCTCTGCAGATACAAAGCCTCCCGCGATGGAGGAGGCCTCCATCCATATTTACTTCCATCTGTTTGTTGTGTTTACTTACGGCTCCACTTCCTGAAGAAGAAAGAGCAAGACGTTGCTTTGTGTTGAGGTTCAAGTGGCTCGGTTTGTGCGACCTTTGATGATGGAGTGGAATCCACAAGCCGACACATGTTGGTTATTAAGAGGTCCAGGAGGAGAAGAACTCGTAACCATTAACCAAGTACTATTGTTGCATTTTTGTTTTGTTCCCATTTCAACGAATGTTTCAGGATGAAGAAACAGAGACACGTTTGTCTTGTTATGAAACGTTTTATGTTTGTTTCGTTCTGTTGTACTTGTTGAAGATGCAGATGGTTTCGTTTGTGCAGCACCTGCTAAAAACAACCTGATCCTTTCCTCTAAATGAGGCTTTGACCTCCTCAATTACAGGACACGACTGAAAGAATGTGGACATGAAGCTAAAACCTCTATAAATGTGAAAACAACTCCAAGCTGCTTTTGAACACCACGGCGAGAGTTACGTTAGATCCTGAGCAGAACCCACAGCATGACCCCCCCTCAAGCCTCAGCTGTTGTGTCGGTCCTACATAAACCCAGCGTGGGGTGCTGCCCCGGACTCACTCCATCACCAACCAAGAGTAACGAGAAGCAGGCGGAGACGATCGAGAGGAGAAAGTGTGAGTCATTCAAGCTGTCGACCCAAGCCCAGGGACCAACGGAAAAACCAGAACCAACACCAGCTCCTGGTTTTCTGACAGGTCTCTGATAGACCACAAGGTAGGGGGTGCTTTAGGGCGGGGCTAAGCACTGATTGACAGGTCTCTGATAGACCACAAGGTAGGGGGTGCTTTAGGGCGGGGCTAAGCACTGATTGACAGGTCGCTGATAGACCACAAGGTAGGGGATGCTTTAGGGCGAGGCTAAGCATTGATTGACAGGTCTCTGATAGACCACAAGGTAGGGGATGCTTTAGGGCGAGGCTAAGCACTGATTGACAGGTCGCTGATAGACCACAAGGTAG